TATATAGTATATATATATACTATATATATATACTATATATATATACTATATATATATATATATATATATACTATATACTATATATATATACTATATATATTTATACTATATATATTTATACTATATATATATACTATATATATATATATATATATATATATATATATATATATATATATATATATATATATATATATATATATATATATATACAGGGTGTATCAAAATAAACGCAATTCATCTTTTGTGCTTAATAACTTTCGAAATGCTATTTCTAGTTAAACGCTTTTAGGCTTACTTCAAAGCCTGTTCTTTTCTCTTTCAAACAAACTATTATCCTTGTCTCCAATGCTAGTAATAATTGCACAAGAAAAGATTTAGTAAAACCTATCATTTTTAGTTGCTGTTTAATTATGCAAGTTTACTATGTTATTGTTTAGTCGGTTTAAATGTTAGAATTTTCTTCTTTAAACTTTAATGTTGTCGTCACTACATCTGGAAAACCACGTAAGAACAAATTAAAAGTATTTTAAAAAAGACCAGGTTGTTTGAAAATCCTAAACGAATGCTAAAAATCGTCAAAACATTCTTGTGTCTGAGCTAGAGTGTCATCAAATTGCGATGTAATGTAAACAGAAATTGTAGCAAGTTGATGTCAGTCAGCTTAGATGGTCCAAGCCAAAATTATATCGCATTTGAAGTTTCAAACTGAGTTAAAAATAGTGGAAGAAAAGCCGTGGTTATACTTATTGTTACAATCCATTTAATAAAATGCAACATTTTTTTGTTTTAATGAAAAAATCAGTTATTTTCATGAGAACGCGATTTGTTATTCCATCTCAATTTTTTTAATCTCCAATCGCAATAACGTAAAGTATTACTACCCGCGAACCAATGAGTCAAATTTAATAAACAACCCACTGTTAGAAAGCTGAATGGCTACGCTTTAAAATGAATGTAAACTTTAACGTTTTCATCTATTATTTGTTTAGCAATTTACATTTCAGTCGAGGATTGCGCTTTTTTTGATACACCCTGTATATATGTAATTGTACACTCCGTAATATGTTAAGGTGAAAATGTTCTCGAGTGTGTATTATATAATTTCCATACCCAGCGTAAGCAGAAAGATAAGTCTGCCGCGGCTGGGTCTTGAACCCGCGACCTTCGAAAAAAAACCGTCTGACCGTGTAGCTCAGTTGGTAGAGCGTCGATCTAGTAATTCGAAGGTCGCGGGTTCACGACCCAGCCGCGGCAGACTTTATCTTTCTGCTTACGCTGGGTATGGAAATTATATAATACACACTCGAGAACATTTTCACGGAGTGTACAATTATTACGGAGTGTACATTATTACGGAGTGTACAATTACACAACTCAACATAACACTCGCAGAACTAGTATTGTTCGATGCTGAATTAATATAAACGAGTATGTTTATGACCTTCAGTATATATTTCATAATTTCCAGTCTTATAAATTATTGAAATGTAGAAAGGTTTGACACTGGTTTGATAAAAACGTTAAAAACTACGTTAATTTAAAAAGATGTTAAAACGTTTCGACCAGTGACTTAGGCCTTCGATCGTCTGTTAAAAAGTTGACTAAGTTCTAAACTGAACAATATGTAAAGGTTCAGAGTTAATTAATTAGCAGATAAGTGTTTTATACACATCCGGTATCTCGACATGGTCGTTTCCTGCGTTATGATCCTTGAGGGAATACCAAGCCTCTAAAAACAAACGTTCGCGATAGTTCTTTGTCTTGTTGACAATGGTGGCATTGCTGAAGTCAATTCGATGGTTGTATTGTTCGGCATGCTTAGCGACTTTTGAATATTGGTCAAATTGCGAAACAGCTCGTTCGTGTTCTCTTATTCTAGTTTTCAGTGCTCTGTCTGTTTGGCCATAATATACAAAGTCACAATCGCAGCAACAGATTTTGGAAATGACTCCGCTTGTCTGCTCGGGGGGTAAATTGTCTTTGGGTTTGGGGAATTGGTGGGAAAGGGTACTGGTGTGTTTATAGTACACTTTGATATTTTCTCTCCTTAATACTCGGGAGATCTTTTCTGCAACGCCTTTGACATACGGTAAGACTACGAAACTGGGAGCAACACAATCAGCGGGGTTGCCTGTTGTTGTTGACATCAGTGGTATGCAAATTAGCATTGGTGTTATCAGTATGACGGCGTTTTCTCTTGATATCGTAAGACTTTATATTGTCTCTCAAGACTTTGAATACGTGTTTTCTTTCTCTGCGTTTTCCTTTGTTGGACGAGGGAATTTTCTCAGCTCTGTCGAGGAGAGTATTTAGGACCGACAGTTTGTGTTGCATGGGATGGTGTGAGTCGTAGTGCAGGTATTTGTCTGTGTGAGTTGGTTTTCCGCTGTATATATCCACTTCTACTTTGCCGGTAGAGCGGATAGTCACTGTTCCAGGAATAGGAGGCGTCGGTTTTCTTCCAGTTCGATGGTGAATTGTAAATATGCCGGGTTTATAGAATTGAGGTGGTTATGAAATTCGTTCACCTGGGTTTTCTTCAGACAGGAATGGCTATCGTCGACATATCTGAACCACCACCGCGGGGGATGTGGTGCTGTAGAAATTGCAGTTTCTTCCACATGTTCCATAACTATGTCGGCAATTGTAGCGCTAATGGGTGATCCCATAGCACAACCTGAGATCTGTTGGTAATATTCATTCTTATATGTGGAGGAACTGTTATGAAGGACGAACTCTAATAATTTTGTGATGTTAGTAATGGATATATGTCTGTTCTTTGTGTCAATGATATGTCTTGTTGTAACCTTTGTTTGATCACCTGTAAGGCTAGTTTGGTAGTGATAGATGTGAACAAGGATATACAACATCGAATGATATCATGACTTCATCGTCTGCAATTTGTCGATGTCTAATTTGTTGAGAAAAGGCAAAACTGTTCGTGACTGTGTATTTCTCCCTGACGAGGGGGGATAATATTTTGACCAAGTGTTTCGAGAGGTTGTATGTTGGGAAATTAATGCAACTTGTAATGGGGCGGAGTGGTACGGCAGGTTTGTGGATTTTAGGCAGCCCGTAGAATCTTGCTGGTGTGCCATCAATGGAATGGAGATACTGAAAACCCCAACCGGCCTTAGTGGCGATCTTACGGCCTCCATAGCAGTTGATGGGAGGATTGAAACGGAGGCTCGGCGGTAATATCTTTGCTCTTTTTAGTTCATGGTTGAACGTGGGGTGTTGTTTTTGCTTTACAATGTTGTGGATTTCTTTTCCAAATTTCTGGCTAATTTCATAACTTCTGAACCACAACGGGTATTAATAAGATTAAAAATGTTAAAATTGTAACCAGGATTAGACATATTATTGAAATGTATAGAAAGGTTTGACACTGGTTTGATAAAAACGTTAAAAACTACGTTTATTTAAAAAGATGTTAGGACGTTTCGACCAGTGACTTAGGTCTTCGTCAGTTAAAAAGTTGACTAAGTTCTAAACTGAACAATAGCGAGCTTAAGCATGTAGGACGGCAACACGATGACGACGGCCAAAACAAATTCCTTCAAATAAATGATAGTAAAGATAACTTGTCGTATATTATAATTCGTATGAATTTAATACAGTATAAGAAGTTGAAAACATTGGCTTTATGTTTGGGAAGAATTCTACTGAACGGAATTTAAGTTGCACTTGCCACATCTTGAAATGCAGGCGTTGTACAAAAGACGTGAAAATCTGTGATTTGCCGTTGTAAACAGAGCTACGACCACGTCTGAATCTCCCCTGGGACTTTAATTATTTATTCACTTTTCATTGACTCATTGTATTGGTTGCCGTCGTCGTAGTGTTGCCGTCCTACATGCTTAAGCTCCCTATAATATGTAAAGGTTCAGAGTTAATTAGCAGATAAGTGTTTTATACACATCCGGTATCTCGACATGGTCGTTTCCTGCGTTATGATCCTTGAGGGAATACCAAGCCTCTAAAAAACAAACGTAGTCTTACCATATGTCAAAGGCGTTGCAGAAAAGATCTCCCGAGTATTAAGGAGAGAAAATATCAAACTGTACTATAAACCCACCAGTACCCTTTCCCACCAATTCCCCAAACCCAAAAACAATTTACCCCCCGAGCAGACAAACGGAGTCATTTACAAAATCTGTTGCTGCGATTGTGACTTTGTATATTATGGCCAAACAGACAGAGCACTGAAAACTAGAATAAGAGAACACGAATTACGAGCTGTTTCGCAATTTGACCAATATTCAAAAGTCGCTAAGCATGCCGAACAATACGACCATCGAATTGACTTCAGCAATGCCACCATTGTCAACAGGACAAAGAACTATCGCGAACGTTTGTTTTTAGAGGCTTGGTATTCCCTCAAGGATCATAACGCAGGAAACAACCATGTCGAGATACCGGATGTGTATAAATACTTATCTGCTAATTAACTCTGAACCTTTATATATTGTTCAGTTTAGAACTTAGTCAACTTTTTAACTGACGAAGGCCTAAGTCACTGATCGAAACGTTTTAACATCTTTTTAAATTAACGTAGTTTTTAACGTTTTTATCAAACCAGTGTCAAACCTTTCTACATTTCAATAATATGTCTAATCCTGGTTACAATTTTAACATTTTTAATCATATATATATATATATATATATATATATATATATATATATATATATATATATATATATATATATATATATATATATATACAGTATATATATATATATTATAGTTTTTCGTTTTACCTCAAAAAACCACAACAATCAGTTTCATCCGTTAGGAATCATCAGGTGGGTCCCACCTGATGATTCCTATATGGATGAAACAGACTGTTGTGGTTTTTTGAGGTAAAACGAAAAACTATATTACGCTCTATCTATATATATGGTATTGAGCACTGTTTGTGTTTCGTAAACCAAAATCTTAAGCTATATATATATATATATATATATATATATATATATATATATATATATATATATATATATATATATAAACAAGTCGTTCTCAGCTTGACCTTGTAGCTCAGACGGTATAGAGCATCGTTCTAGAAATGCGAAGGTCGCGGGTTCGAATCCCAGCCGCGGTCAAGTAGAATTTTCTGCTTGCCCGGTTTGGTATACACTCGTCTGAAAACAACTCATAAACCACTACATAACGTAACACGAGTGGAATCGTAAACGTGGGAAACCACAACATTCACATACAACATTGCCAGACTGATAGCTGGCTTCACGCATTGAAGGACTAACCTCCGAAATGCAACTAACATCATAACTTAACAAGTCGTTCTCAGCTTGACCTTGTAGCTCAGACGGTAAAGCATCGTTCTAGAAATGCGAAGGTCGCGGGTTCGAATCCCAGCCGCGGTCAAGTAGAATTTTCTGCTTGCCCGGTTTGGTATACACTCGTCTGAAAACAACTCAAAAACCGCTACATAACGTTACACGAGTGGAATCGTAAACGTGGGAAACCACAATATTCACATACAACATTGCCAGACTAATAGCTGGCTTTACGCATTGAAGGACTAACCTCCGAAATGCAACTAACATCATAACTTAACAAGTCGTTCTCAGCTTGACCTTGTAGCTCAGACGGTAGAGCATCGTTCTAGAAATGCGAAGGTCGCGGGTTCGAATCCCAGCCGCGGTCAAGTAGAATTTTCTGCTTGCCTGGTTTGGTATACACTATACTATATATATATATATATATATATATATATATATATATATATATATATATATATATATATATATATATATATATATATATATATATATTTATATAAACAAGAACTTACGGTTACAGCTCGACAGCTGAGCTGACCTCTGTAGCTCAGTTGGTAAGAGTGCTGCACCAGAAGCCCAGGGGCGTAGCCTCAATTTCTACCAGCTGAGGACCTAATGCTGCATATTTTTCGCAGTCGTTTGTGGTTAACAGGTCTTAAATTGTATATATACACACTTGGATTACAAACCAAAAACAACATTCTAAACATACCTAGGACCCGCTTTGGCCTGACCTAGGCTAGGCCTGACTTTGTGGCAATATAAATCACTTTTGGCCCTGGGCCCCATTTCCATGGAAATATGTTAATACCAGACAACACATAAAAAATTGATTAAATTTACTGAAATTCAAGCTTGGCCAAGTGAACTATGCCATTGTACATGTAAACGTGTCGCATTTACCTTGGTCTGGCCAAGGCTTGTAGTGTAAACACGACTACACAGCAAAAGATCATTTTCTTATTAAGAAAAAAATTCTTAATTTAAGAAATTATTTCTTAAAACGAAAAACGGATTTTCTTAATAAGAATAAGATTCTTAAAATAAGAAATATTTCATTGGCAAGATATTTTTTCTTGAAATAAGAAAAAAAAATTTAACATATCTTGGATTATATTTGTTTTCTTAAACCAAGAATGTATTTTCCTACGATTTTTTCATCTTCATATCAATCATTTTCTTAAGAAAATATGATTTTCTTGTTTTAAGAAATACTTTCTTAAAACAAGAAATCAAATTCTTAACATAAGAATTATATTTGTTTTCTTAAAACAAGAATATGTTTTCTTACGATTTTTTCATCTTCTTATCAATCATTTTCTTAAGAAAATAGTGGTTTTCTTGTTTTAAGAAATAGTTTCTTAAAACAAGAAATCAAATTCTTCACATAAGAAATTATTTCTTAAATTTTCTTGAACGGAAAGAAAATTTAAAATTTGTTAAAATTTAACTACAGGAACTATAGGATGGCATTCAAATATTGTGTTTAAAGACATATATAACATATTTTGTATGTAGATTCATTTTAATTGTATAATTCTTATTTCTAGAATAATCTGCATATGTATTACAGGGACCGCGGAGACTGTTTTGAAGTGTGTGTGTGTGGGGGAGGGGGGGGAGGGGGGAGGAAAGGCAGGATAGCACGGGCAATAGCTCA